CAAGTTCTCACTCATATAATGGACCTTGAACATCCAATGTAATACTATAAGAAAATGACTGATGGTACTGGGAAACTATGGAGGGGGGGATGGGATTAACAGTAGCAAATATCTGTCTGGGGATTGGAAAACACGTCTTATCAACAGGGTGCCTGAATGAAATGTAACTGTACACTTAACACTTAACTGTACCCCACAAAACCATAATAAAAAATATTGATTAATAAAAAAAACACTGAGCATATAATTCACTAGAAAAGTGATTAAAATTAAAGCATCTGAAGGTCACACTACTATTAAGAGAATAATTATAACTTCAAGCTTTACACAGACACATTAAAATAGCCAAGATAAATACTAAAGAAGCAAAAGAGGAGAAAAACAAATATTTGTTAAACATGGACAAATGGAATACAAAATAAGATAACGGAAATTAATCCAACTAGTCAATAAATGTGAATAGAATAAACTAAACTCTTTAAATTCATGGAAAAAAATTATCAAACTGATTTTTCAAAAATCTCAAGAAAAAATAGATATTAAAGGGAAACTTTACCAGATACATTCCTTAGTAAATGATAACACAAGCAGACAAAATTATCAGTAAGAATCTAAAACAACTTAAATGACTAATAACAAACGTTATTTAATGGACAAATATAGGACACTACATTAACCCAACATACGTGCAATACTTATAAAAAATTGCTATATGGTAGGTCTTCTATAACACAAATCCAAATTAATACCAAAGAACCCATTCATACAGACCACATTCTCTGACCATGCTGAAGTTAGATGAACACTAAAAAATAAATAAAATAAAAAATCCAGCCGGGCTCGGTGGCTCAGCCTGTAATCCCGTGCCTTTGGGAGGCTGAGGTGAGTGGATTGCCTGAGCCCGCGGGTTCGAGACCCACCTGGGCAGCGAGACCTCATCTCTACAATAAATCAAAAAATCAGCCAGGCATGGTAGCGTGCGCCTGTAATTCCGGCTACTCGGAAGGCTGAGGCGGAGGGATCGCGGAGCCCAGGAGGTCGAGGCTGCGGTGGCCGAGAGCGGCCACTGCACTGCACTCCAGTCTGGGCGACAGAGTGAGACTCCAACTCAAAAAAAAAAAAAAAAATTCCATACGTTTTGAAATTCAAAAATTGTATTTTTAAAAATGCACAGCTCAATAAGAAACCATAATGCCAATTTTTAAATACATTAAAAACTGAACCATAATAAAAATACTCCACAATAAAAAAGAAACCTGTGTGCTAACTTTATAGTCACAACTGCTTATGTTAGAGAGGCTACAAATTACTGAGGTAAGCATTAAACTTAAGGAGTTGAGACAAAAATAAGAGACTAAGCCCAATAATATAGAAAGAAAAAATAATAAAGCTAAGAGCAAAAGTTAAAGATACACAAAATAAAACTCAGCTATTTGAATACACTAATAAAATTGACAAATTTCTAGTTAAATTGACCAAAAAACAAGAAAGCCAGCCACTTAAATTTAAAAGAGAGAACTATAGATGTAGCAGAAACTTATGAGACAATTTATGCCAATAAACTTAAAAATGAGCAAAAATTTTTAAATCCTTAGAAAAACAGAAATTACCAAAATTGACTTAAAAAGCAATAGAAAACATGAACAATCAATAGTTTAAAATCTTCTTCAAAACAACAGATTAGGGCTGGAAGAGTTTTACATATAATGTCTAGCAAATATTAAGAGATGAGTCTAATTACAAAATAATCAGTATCTAATATATAAAAATTAGAATAACTTAAAAAAAACCCAGAAAATAGTATAAAATATGGTACCAGCAGTTAAAATGAAGAAACTAGAGCCATATCTATCAACATAAATAAATCTAAAAAACAATTTTAAACAAAAAACAGCAAGTTACATAAGAGTATATACAATATGATGTGACTCACACCAAATTTTAAATCCAGCAAAACAACTCTGTGTTTATGGATGCACAAATTTGCAATCAAAATATTAAATCCTAAATGATAAATACTGTAATTCCTGAGTTGTTTCCACTGCGTAAGATATAAGTTGAAAGATACAGGTAAGAAACAGGGGACCTTCCACTTCATCTGTAAAATTGTACTTTTTTTTTTTTTTTTTTTTGAGTTGGAGTCTCACTCTGTCGCCCAGACTGGAGTGCAGTGGCCACTCCCGGCCACAGCCTCAACCTGCTGGGCTCCGGCGATCCTTCTGCCTCGGCCTTCCAAGTAGCTGGAATTACAGGCATGTGCCACCACGCCCAGCTGACAGCTGATACTTTGATTTATTGTAGAGATGAGGTCTCGCTGCCCAGGTGGGTCTCGAACCCGCGGGCTCAGGCAATCCACTCACCTCAGCCTCCCAAAGGCGCGGGATTACAGGCTGTGCCACCAAGCCCGGCGAAATTGTACTTATTTTAAAGAAAAAAAAAAATCTACAACAAACATGACATATGACAACTATATGAATAATTTTATTTTTGTCTGTATATTTAAAGTATTTTATGATTTTTTAAAAAGCCTTTATTAATAACCAGAGATGGTGCAGTAAAATAGTAAAAACAATTATCTGAGGTGTATTGAATGCTTACACTGTGCTAGAATGGTTCCAAATGCTTTATGTGTAATACTTAATATTCATGCCAACCCCATTAAGTAGATACTATTATTACCATTTTTCAAATAAGTATATTATACCTGTTTTATAATCCTTTGGAAAAAATCTGGTAATACTAATCAATGTGCATACCTTGAGAACTGCAAATCTACTTCAGAATATCTATTCTAATAACAAAACAAAACCAAAGACCTGTATACAAACAGACATGTATTACTCTGCTGGTTATTAATGGAAATAAAAGTTAAAACACCTAAATTAAGGACCAATGAATTGGTTATAGAGCATCTATATGACATACTATTATTCTGCCAGTAAAAGAATTTATTATTTTACTGGAAAGAATTTTCAACATGGAAAGTGCTTATTATAGTCTAATGTTAAACAAACAAAAAAAAAAACAAAACTACTTATCTGGTAGTTTCAAACTATGCAAAAAAAATACATGCATAGAAGAAAAGGCTGGAAAAAATACACAAAAATGTTATAAATGAGGGTCACTTGTGGGTGGTAAAATTACAGGAATTTTTTCCTTCATGTGTATGAATTTACCAAATATTTTAGCATGTAACGCTTATGGTCAAGAAAAACTACCAAAAAAAAAAAAAGAAAACATTACATTTATGTCCTCAGCTATCCGAATCAATAGCAAAGTGTTTTTATAACTCCAAAGCGTGAACAACTTAGGATGAAGGCACAAAAAGTCTTTCTTAGCATATAATAAAACTGAAATAAAAAAAGCCTGTGTTGTTTTTAATAATAGCTTTTACTTACGCGGTAACTGTGGTGTTTTACTATCATGTGAACGGTACTCTTCATGAGGAACAGACTTGTCATCCTAATTGCAAAAAAGATTATTATATAGTTAACATAGTACCTATAAGAGCTGTAATGTAGAGAAGAACAGATGAAAGATTTGAAGAGGTTGGAGGGTTGATGTGATACATAGGAACTCACCATTTTTACATGCATAGGTCTATCAAATAAAAACTGCCCATTGAACATAGCTGTTGGTTCAGTCAAGGAAAGCCAGTTAAGACAACTATGAAACTATACAAGAACACAAACTAATTTTTAATAGAGTCCAACTACTGTAGATATTTAACATCTTTAATATTTATTGGTAATAGCCACTTCTATATACTCAAAAAATCTTCTATTCTTTGATATTATAGTTTTATTTTATAGATAAGATTTTTTATTTAGTCATTGAAAAAGAAAATTAACAAGGCTTTATTTAAAGCAACTGCATTAATATACAATGGATTACATAACTGTTAAAAGAATGTATACATACCATTAGCTGTGGAAGAAAGAGAGTAGAAAAAAATGTCTTACTAGCCCTGTACAATATGGTTAATTAAGCTTTAAGAGTGACTTTAGTACTTGGACATAGTAAAGGTTTTATGTGCTGGAGACTAAAGTTCAACATACATTCTAAGCCTGGCAACCTTAAATTCCACTACATCCACAAAGTGGTATCAAGCCTCTTCAACCTTATAAATTATGCTAAAATGTAAATTAGGATACAAATTGCTTGAACTGCTTCAATTGCTTGCTCAAAAGTGACAGTGCCCATTCCTCTGCTCTTGCCATCTTTGTCTTCTTTAATATCTGCCCGCTTTACAGTTCCAGCTATGCTGAACACTTCCTTTAGCTTCTTCCAACCAACTTTGAAGTCAAGCTTAACATAAAATTGTATAAAGTTATACACCTAATAAACCCCTCTTCCCATTTGTAAATACAAAAGAATCTTTTCTAAACCCTCAAAACCAAAAAACTATAATTCTTGTTCAACAGAACATCAATAATTTTAAAATTAAAAAACCTTAAGTTGTTTAAAATCAGTTAAGCTACATCTATGTTGTTCCTTATCCTTATCATATGAAATTTCCAAAATTGTCTACAGACTGCTCAAACCTGTTTTGTATATTTGAAAGTTGTACATCTACTTTTACCAAGAGAAATTCAGATTTTTAAAATATCATTGATTTCAAAAGCTCAGAACAAATGACAAACCAACTTCAACATGCATTTTCACAAATATAAAGACCACCAAAAAAAATCTATTTACCATTACAAACCACAACACTTATAATTAGAGTAAATAATTCCAAGAACTGTTTAAAAGTGTATAAATTCCAGTTTTCTATTAAAAAAAATCCAAATAGTTGTATTAAAATTCTAACCTTATGTATACAGATTTAAATTGAATTTGAATTTACAATAATTGTTTCACTTGCTTCAGTTAAAACTAAGCAGAAGGTTCTATACATCTATAACTTATTCATTCAATTAAGTAATCTAATGATTAGAACTAAGTATCTGAATTGACAGTATTTTAGACTAAAGTTTAAACTTACATTAGCAACAAAAATTGTGGAACCAAGTCTACCAGCTTGCAAATTACTGATAACTTCAGAAGGAATGTTTGGATTATTGAGAATCGAAGGTGGTAAATTCATCAACCCTGATCCCATATCAGGGACGTGTCCTCCTGGAAATGATCCTCCTGTTCGTTGCAATGCCCTACGAGCATTTTCTCCATCAGGATCCTACAACACATGTTGGATACTAAATACATCAGTAAATCTATGTAATTAAAACAACAACTTCAAATTCTATTGTAGCTATTCCATCTGGCTCAAATTATTGACCCTCTTGAAGAGTGAGGTTTTTTTTCTCATGCAGAGAACTGAGTCCCATTAAAAAAAAAAAAAAAACCTGTAGATAGACAAAAGATTTCAGTCTCCAAGGATGTTAGTTAAATACCTCTTTCCAATCACCATAGTCACCTAAGAACTTGAAATTAGTTTAATTTTGCCCTCACACTAGTGTACAAGTACATACACATAACTCAAAGAGAAGCAAAGTACTCACTGTTATTCTTTTCTTTCCAAAATGCAGTAATGGTGAACTCTCACCACTGGATGCCAAGAGAAGGCCAAATTCAGATTAATTCAAAGCTTTTCAATAGTGGAACAGATGTTATAAAACTCAGGAATATTGGGGTAGAGGAGGACCAATTGTAATCTGTTCATTTCACTGCTAAACAAAATACTATTATCTGCCTTCCAACCTCTCACCTTCCTCAACAATGATCATGATTTGAGATGGGGACAGGAGAGAGACAAATGAAAGTTAAGTGTCTAAGTGAAGAATTATATTATCATTGTTTTTTGTTAGGTTCACTAATTTTATAAGAAAAGTACCCTTACCATTAAGCAAAACAAAGAGCAGATTTAAATGTACTTCTCAGTCATCCCACTAAGTGGAATGCAAAAAAACAAAAGTAAATATACAAAAATCACATCAAAATATTAATTATCATCTGCAATGCCAAACAATTATGCTAAAGGTAATCATCAACTCTATCTGCTGGCCTCAGTCTAGGAACACAGCACTACTAATAAGAAAGTTGGATGACTTTAATAAATTCTCTAGGGCAGCTGAGAGAATAAAAGGTGAAAATGTGACTATAAGAATACAGACACGGAAGGAACATTGGAGCCTAGCAGGTCAACCCTGGAGTGGCCATGAGTGTGCCACTGCACCCCAGTTTGAGCGACAGAGTGAGACTCCAACTCAAAAAAAAAAAAAAGAATACAGACAATTCTAGCTTCCAACTTATTTCTTCACTATGAAGAAATAAAAAGGATTACAAAAGTCAAGAAAGAAATGTTATCAAAAAACACCTTAAAACATTTAAGGTAATAAATAAAAAATCCTTCAGGTCTGAGGATTCAAAAACTGATATAAATACAAAATTCAGAATAGAGGTTCCCTATGAGAAGGACAACATAGAGAAGATGCATCTTGAACTATTGAGACATTTAGGCTGCATTATAACATTAACAAAACACACTGCTATGTTTCTTTCTTTTATGTATAAGACAAATATATACACACACAATACATGCACATTATATACATATATAATATATAAAACATAAAGTTTATATTTTTAAAATCACCTACTATATAACATGGTTCTTATTCCGCTTTCCCCTTGCTGTCAGCTTACTGGTCAATGCTATTGCTTTTAGAGGATCTATAATACACTTACAACTGTTACTGATCCCATTTAAATAAGTGAAAAACTGTAATGTTCAAATATATTAAGGAATACTGGAAAAACACTTTCCTTAGACTTCCATCTCAGTAGTAGTTCTAAGCATTCATCCCAGCCACCCACCTGTAAATCAGATATACCCAAGAAAGGGTCAGCCTTTAGCAATGTTAATCAAAAAAATCCAATTGAATATATCCCTCATCATTTAGCTAGGCCAAATTTTAGCATGTTTAAAATGGAGGTATCCTCTATAAACATGAACCATATAACTCTATTCAAGGGTCTGTGAAATATTACTGAGGATCTACACTGTGCTGAAAACTTAATGCAGTAACATGGCCTTGGCCTTTAGCAACCAATAAACCGTTTTTTGTTTGGTTTTTTCCCCCAATTAAAAAAAAATCTGAGAATCTATAATACTTGTCCTTTGGAGAGAAATAAGAAACATAAAACAACAAATTATTTAGGTATGAAAATATTTCTGAAGCACTAGTCCTGGTTTATGCATAAAAAACACCAAATAAATGGCTGGCACAAATCACAATAGTCAAAACTCTCTCTACTAATTTTATATGTCTCCATCAAAAAAATTTTAATAATAATAACCCCCAGACTCAAACAGGATTAGAAGAATTTGAAAGCTAACTCAAAAAGACTTGGGAGAGATATATATGTTGGTAGCGGGGTCTTTAATTTAAGCTATTATTACCTAATATTCAGTAACAAGAGACCAAAACCCTTGGACAGGAATAACAATGATCATTGTTATTATAGCTAACATTTGTTATGTATTTGGAATATTTTGAGCACTGTGCTAAGTCTTTATATAATAATATCACAAGTACAATAAATAGCTAACATTACTTAAATGGTTTATATATGTTAACTCTTTGAGTCCTTGTAACACTATGAGGTACATTCTAGTATTATTTCCATTTTAGTAATAAAGAAACACAGAAAGACAGAAGCTAAGTAATTTGCCCTGAGTCACACAAGTTTTATGATATTAAAGCCTGAGTTATTTACCATGTACCTCATTTAATCCTCATAAAAATCCTATTAGGTAAATACAGACATGCTTTGTTTTACTGTGCCTTACATTATCGTGCTTCACAGATAGTGCATTTTTCACAAATTGAAGGTTTGTGATAACCCTGTGTCAAACAAGTCTATCAGAAGCATTTTCCAAAAGCATGTGCTCACTTCCTGTCTCTAAGTCACATTTGGGTAATTCATGTAATATCTCAACCTTTTTCATTATTATATCAATTGTGGTGATCTGTGATCAGTTATCTTTGGTGTTTTGGTTATTTGTGAGCACCACCAACTGTGCTCACATGAAACAGTGAACTTAATCAATAAATCTGTATGCTCTGACTGCTCCAAAAATCAGCCTTTCCCAGTCTACCTCTCCTTGGGTCTCCTCACTCCTGAGGACACAAGAATACTGAAATTAGGCCAAATAAGAGCCCTACAATGGCCTCTAAGTGTTTAAGTGAAAGGAAGAGTTGCACATCTCTCACTTCAAATCCAAAGCTCGAAATGATTTTTAAGCTTAGTTAAGGAAGGCATGTTAAAAGCTAAGATAAGCAAAAAGCAAGGCCTCCTGTGCCAGTTGATCAAGTTGTGAACGCAAAGAAAATGTTCTTGAAGAAAATAAAAGTGCTACTCCAGTGAACACATGAATGATAAGAAAGTAAAATAGCCTTATTGCTGACAAGGAGAAAGTTTTAGTGGCCTGGACAGAAGATTAAATCAGTCACAACATTCCCCTAAGCCAAAGCCTAACCCAGAGCAAGACTCTAACTCTTTTCAATTCTATGAAGGCTGAGAGAGGAGAGGAAGTTGGAAGCTAGAAGAGGTTGGTTCATGAAGTTTAAAGAAAGAAGCCATCTCCATAACATAACAGTACAAGGCTGAAGTACCAAGAGCTGACTAAAAACCTGCAGCAAGTTATCCAGATCTAGCTAAAATGGCTGATGAAGGTAGCTAAACTAAGCAACAGATTTTCAAAGCAGATGAAATAGCCTTCTATTGGAAGATGATGCCAAGTAGAATTTTCAAAGCTAGAGAGGAGAAGTCAATGCCTGGCTTCAAAACTTCAAAGTATAGTCTAACTCTTTTACTAGGGGCTAATGCAGTTGGCGACTTGAGTTAAAGCCAATGCTCACTTAACATTCTGAAAAATCCTGGGCCTTTAACAACTATGCTAAATCTAATCTGCATGTGCCCTATAAATAGAATTAAACCTATGGGTAACAGCACATCTGCTTACAGAATGTAAGTCCACCATTTAGACCCACTGCTCAGGAAAAAAAAAGATTCCTTTCAAACTATTACTGCTCATTGACAATGCTCCTTGTCAACTAAGAGCTCTGATGGAGATGTGTAGGGAGATTACAGTTGTTTTCATGCCTACTATAACAACATCCATTCTGCAGCCTATGAATCAAGGAATACTCCTGACTTTCAAGTCTTGCTATTTAAGAAACACATTTTGAGCCGGGCTCAGTGGCTCAGCTTGTAATCCCACGCCTTTGGGAGGCTGAGGTGAGTGGATTGCCTGAGCCCACGGGTTCGAGACCCGCCTGGGCAGCGAGACCTCATCTCTACAATAAATCAAAAAATCAGCGGGGTGTGGTAGCGCACGCCTGTAGTTCCAGCTACTTGGAAGGCTGAGGCAGAAGGATCGCCGGAGCCCAGCAGGTCAAGGCTGCGGTGGCCGGGAGCGGCCACTGCACTCCAATCTGGGCGACAGAATGAGACTCCAACTCAAAAAAAAAAAAAGAAACACATTTTGTAAGGCTATAGCTGCCATAGACAGCAATTCTTCTAATGAATCTGAGCAACAAAAACTGCAAACCTTCTGGAAAGAATTCACTATTCTAGATGCTATTAAGAACATTCGTGATTCATGAGATGAGATTAAAATATCAACATTAACAGGAGTTTAGAAGTAGATTCTAATTCTTCTGGATGACTTTGAGGGGTTCAAGACTCCGGTGGAGGAAGTAACTGCAGATGTGGTGTAAACAGCAAGAGAACTAGAATTCGAAGTGAAGCCTGAAGATGTGACTGAATTGCTGAAGTCTCATGATGAAACTTGGAAGAATGAGGAGTTGCTTCTTATGAATGAGCAAAGAAAGTGGTTTCTTGAGATGGAATCTATTCCTGGTGAAGATGCTGAGAACATTACTAAATAACAACAAAGGATTTAGAATATTACATAAACTTAGATAAGGTCGTGGCAGAGTTTGAGGACTGATGCCAATTCTGAAAGAATTGTATGAAAGTATTTTGGGTAAAATACTATCCAGCAGTATCACATATTACAGAGAAATATTTCATGAAAGAGTCAGTCAAAATGGCAAATATCACTGTTGTCTTATTTTAAGAAATTGCTACAGCCACCCCAATCTTCAACAGCCACCACCCTGATCAGTCACCAACCATCAATATTGAGGCAAAACTCTCCAAAGATTATAATGAAGGTTCAGATGATATTAACATTTTTAGCAATAAAGTATTTTTTAAACTAAGGTATGTACATTGTAGTTTTAGACATAATGCTCTCACACACTTAACAGACTACAATATGTATAAACATAACTTTTATGTTCACTAAGAAACTAAAAAATTTGTATGACTCACTTTATTGCTATATTCCCTTTATTGCAAAAATTGAACCTGCAATGTTTGAACCTGTGGTCTGGAATGGAACCTGCAATATCTCCAAGTTATGCCTATTTCATCAGTAGTACTATAATTACTGAAGTTTAAAGAAGTTAAATAACATGCCTAGTCACCCAGCTAGAAAAATCACTACTATATATAAACACCAAGGATGACCGATAGTATTGCTCTACAACCGATGAGGATCTTCAGGGTCCTGAAGTTATACCATCTATCTCTTTAACACAGACTTTAGCAAGAATATGTGCATAACTGGTCTGTAGTGAAACTACTATTAATAGGATAAAATTAAGAATATGAGTCCGTGAAAATGAGTGCTATTCAAACTAATTATCCCCAAGGTCAGTAAGACCTAACAGTAAATAATCTTTTCATGTATATTCTGATCATTTTTTTGCCAACATATTCTGATCATTATTTACACTGCTAAAATTTCATACAAAGAGAATGTTTCCATTTTAGTGGTGTCTAGGTTCTAATTACAAATTTCACTTAAATTTTTTCTTAAATTTTTAATTTTTCTTAAATTTTAATATGGTTACAGTTTCCAAGTTAATTTTGTTAAAAGTATTAACTTTTAAAAAAAGTATTCAAATCCATAAGATACGAACATTATTAAGCAACTTTCATCAACTACAAGAATATTATACTTCTGAAATTAAATTAACACAATCTAAAAATTGAAAATGTCTGTAGCAAAGCCAGCACCTGAAGTGTATCATCTTTAAATTTCTGGGTCCTGAATTTTTTTTTCAGTTATGCACCTTTGTTTATAATAACTTGAAATAAACCAAATATATAGGCTAACTGCTTAAAAGCAAATAGAAAATCATGTACAAGTAAAATTATCATCAATATACAACACTTTAATAGGCATCTATGCTTTAAAAAAAAGTTGTAGTCAGACAAATACATTACCAATAAAGAAAATTAAAAGAAAGCATATCCTTATAGTCAAATGTTTAAATTCCAAATACAAGAAATCTTACCTCTTTAATATTCAGTGGTCTTCCACTAAGATCATATTTGTTCATAGTTTCTAGTGCTTTCTTTACAAATTCTTCATCTTTGAATTCAACCACACTTAATGGGGGGAAAATATATAGAAAATGTTTATGTACTAATTTTTTTCCAATCAGAAGTTCAATTTGACTTAAGATATATAAAGAAAAATTTCTTACCCACAACCCTATATCCAGGTAGATTCATCAAAATATGAAAAAGAAAAAAAGTTTTAGATCAGTAGATGAAATTAAAGGTAGATTCTAACATTTCTTTCACCAAAAGTAATCAATAACACAGTACAATCACTTTTCATCTTTTATACCTCCAAAACATAACAGGCAAGTGATCACAAATTTTCTGTAAATTTTTAACTCTATTTCAGAGAGTAGAATCTAGTATTTAACAAGCTTGGAATACAGTTTTTACTTTTAGATGACTTTTCTTTAGGTTAAAACTAATGTCACTGCACAAATTCAATCAACAGTAGTTCAAGGAAATAACTGAAGGCTCCAATACCTACCCTTACACAATTACAAATATTTTTAAAAGATGAATTATATAAAATTAATTTTTCAATCTATTAAAATCAAAATGACAAAGATTAATTTCATTTTTAACAAAGGTCTCCATTAGATTAAAACTGGTTGCACACAAGTTAATAGCACCCAGCTATATTTAAAAAAAATCACCTGTGCTAAATAAATTAATTTGCAGAATTATTTTTAAAAATAATTCCCAGTGCTTACTGTTCAAAGTGCCATTTGAATGTGATGACGTTTTTATTTCTCATGCATCCAACTGTTTTTTGTTAATGTAATTAAACACTGTTATGAGGTTTCCATTCTTCAGTATATTGCATTCTTGTTGCTAAAAATCAAAATCTACTATCAACCAATTAATTCCTTCGATGTCAGTATAATCATAAATGTCATTCATACCAATTGGTCAGAGCACTGCCTCTTATGTAATCCTGCAGTCTACCAAATAAAGCTGTGTAAAAGTTTCAAAAATACATTCTGAATTAACACCTTTACTATAGGCCTCTCAAAACTCAGAAAGTATTATCAGTTCAGTGACTTTTAAAATATCCTTGAAGACATCAAAATACAACAAAAAAAAAATCCCATATTAAAATTTGATTGGCTAAGAAGCATTACCTTACAGCATTAGAAAAGTGAATGCCCTTTACGAGCATTTACAAAACCCATCCCTTCCAGGCAGCTAGTTTGGTTTGTATAAGTGTCAGACTTGCTAGTAGAAAGCCTCAAATCTTGCATAATAAAGTAAAACAAAATGAAACTTAAGTTTCCAAAAACTGGTACAAGTATTATACAAAAAGTAAACTGCTGAGGAACTTGTAAACCTCAAGCAGATTATTGCCCACAGCACTTACCCTTGATTTTCCTTCCGCATCCTTAAAGAGCTCCACGTATGTAACCTCACCAACTACATAAGACATACAAAAGGAAGATACCAAGAAACAATACATTTAAACACCAATATCTTGCTTTACTGCACACCTGTGCACAACTCTACAGAGAAGCACCTATTATTCACCAACAATCAAAACCAGACCAACATACCTCCTATCAATAGCTATGTAAATTTAACTGATTTTCAGAAATGTACATCATCCACATTCTCTAAAAAAACTAACAACCATATTAACCTAATTCATACTACAGATCATATTTTGGCCAGCATGATATAGTTGGTGAACAAATGCACATATACATAACAAATGGTCCCTTAGCCTATCATATTAAAAAACATCAACATTAGCACTTTTCAAATAACTTTGGTCAGCCTACACACAACAGCTGTTTTAAGGTGACTTTCTACCTGAATGTCTTCAATCATGTTTGCCATCAGTAAGCTAAATTTACAAGTCATGCTTCACAGCAAGCCACACACTTTCTAAATAAAGTCAATGAATAAAACCAATCAAATAGTTGTCACCTTACAACAGATACACCAATGCAAATTTGTTTAAAATTTATTAGAAGAAATCAGCCTCAAAGCCAAGTACATAATTTGCAGGACTGTTGAAACTCAAGTTTTCAAGAGATAACAAAACTAACTTTTACAAGATCAAGTATTAAATTATTTTTCCCCAAAGTCAACCATGTATATAAGATGAAGGTTTTCAGATTATTCTGAAAACAAAACTGCAACAGCAGTAATGCAATTTTAATATAGAACTGCAAAGACAGCATCATGGCAGTCATGACAATGCAAACAAAATAAATTCCACAGCCAGATTCCAGACTCCACCAAGATAATAACAAAACAGCTTTTGGAAAAAAATTAATCAGACCTTATTATTCATACTTTAACACGCTAAATGTATTGCTTAACTAATTCAATAGTCCTTTAAAAATCTATAAAAACTTCAACTAGACAAAGCAATCACGTTAACAAAATTCTTGGTGGCATGCATATGTTGGCTCACTACTATCCCACTAAAATGGCAAAAAGAAAAATACTTCATTTATCCATACTACCTTATAATGAAATTGTGTCAAGTGAAAGAAGAGGACAAGATTAAATCACATGTCAAGAAATAAAAATCAATTTTTTGAGTCTGTGTGGCTCAGAGGAATAAAAATGTTTGCTTAGTTCCCTTCCCTTTCTATATGAAGATTATCCAATGGTGGGTTATTTCAGAAATAGTTACCTTTTTCTCTCATTAGATCTTTAATAGCTTGCCATTTCATGTCATATGGGATGTTGCTAATAAAAACTCTGTTACGATTTGGACCCTTCTTTTCTCCAGTGCCCGAATTCTTGTCTTTTGAATAAGGATGAAATCTATTGGCCTTCTTATTTCCTGTAGACTTTTCTTTTAAGTCAGATTTCTCTTCTTTTGCTGATTCATCATTCTCCCTATGAATTTAAAAGAACAAACACACAAAAGCCCTCAGTTGTGATTCTAAGAATGGAAGTTTATATTTAATAAGTATTTCATATTTATCACTTCACAAAACTCTTCACTGAGTCAGACTTCAGCAAAGTAGCTGGAGAGTCAGTCTGACAGCTTTGAAATTACCCAATGCCATTTCAAAGCAAGGGTTTGTGACTTATTACCAAAATTCTCATTTAACAGTCCTCAATTTTTTTCCATGCTAAATAGTTGACAGTGTCCAAACAATCACCTAGTTTTTCCCATCGCACTACTCAATAAATGTTATTAGAGACTGGGTTTGGTAGAAACAGGTGATTTTACTTCTATAGTATGTAAAACTGCTAGGCTTCCTTCAAGACTCCAAAAAACAACTAATTTACAAAATGACACCCTGAAAAAATTCATTTCTTTTTTCTTTTTTTTTTTTGAGTTGGAGTCTCACTCTGTTGCCCAGACTGGAGTGCGGTGGCCGCTCCCGGCGATCCTTCCGCCTCAGCCTTCCAAGCAGCTGGAATTACAGGCATGCACTACCACACCCGGCTGATTTTTTGATTTTATTGTAGAGATGATGTCTTGCTGCCAAGGCAGGTCTCGAACCCGCGGGCTCAGGCAATCCACTCACCTCAGCCTCCCAAAGGCAAGGAATTACAGGCTGAGCCACCGAGCCCGGCAAAAAAATTCATTTCTTAAAGGTTAACAGTTTCTTCCCAAAATTTTATCCTCCCTTGCCTTAAAAAGCACATTTAAAATACAGAGCAATGCCTATATATCTAAATTATATCTTTAAACACATATAAAGCTGTCAAATATTTTTATTCCTAATTTTTATCAACACAGAAAATCTATAAGGCAACCTAATATTCTATGTTTAACATCTTCTATGTTCTAAACTATAAACTAGGATATGGTACTTCATCAAATCAAGCAATTTTTATTAGTAACAGCACCTATAATGGGTAGATGGACTGGAGGAGAAAAGCAGTACTTAAATGCAACATAAGCCAAAACTGTTACAAATCTGCTTTCTAGTGAGGCCCTAATTGAAAAAAAAATTATAAGACTGTAGTTGTGGGGGGGGGAATGGGATTAACAGTAGCAAATATCTGTCTGGGGATGGGAAAACACCTCTTATCAACAGGGTGCCTGAATGAAACGTAATTGTACACCTAACCCTTGACTGTACCCCACAAAACCATAATAAAAAATATTGATTAATAAAAAAAAAAATAAAATAAAATAAAATAAAAAAGACTGTAGTCAGGCACAGTGGCTACGTCTGTAATACCAGCACTTTAGGAGGCTAAGGCAGGAGGACTGCTTGAACCTAGGAGTTTGAGACCAGCCTAAGCAACAGCGAGACTTCATCTCTACAAATATTTAAAAATTTAGCAAGGCATGGTGGTGCATGCCTGTAGTCCCAACTATTTGGGAGGCTGAGGCAGAAGGATCACCTGAGCTCAGAGTTCAAAGGTGCAGTGAGCAGTGATCATGCCACTGCACTCCAGCCTGGGAGACAGAGTGAGACCCCAACTCAAAAAAAACCAACAGAAGACTGTAATCACATTGCAATTATAGAACTATAAGATGCCATACATCAACCCTCCATAAACGTCTTAGACACTACTCTTCTATGCAAGTAATAACACAGTCATTAATACAGTACGTAAACTCAATGAGAACAAAAAGTATTTTTTAATATCGATGAGAACAAACACTATCTACTTTGGTGTCAGCGGCACTTAGAATGGTGACTGTATATAACATGTGATGGATGAGTAATAATTTTTTAATGATTGACCAGTCAATTAAAAACCCATACTCATCTGAACGGAGATGTTGCCACTATCTGCCAGAAAAGCTGCTAAAATAAGGGAAGAGACACTCAGGCCAAACTGGCTTCACCTTTTCAGACCCTGAGACGGACATCTTCACTATTAAACATATTCCCTCATCAAAAATACCTAAAAGGCTTTTCTCAACCATCCCATTCTAGAAAGTATCTACCTGTCTGAACAGAGAGGTACTTCTGAAAATGGCAGCAACCAGCCAACAAGACACAGAAGCCTTTTCTCTGGTTTCTGGGTACAGCAGATATAAAAACAAACACTTCCGTTTAATCCTCCAAAGGATCCATTTACATAATAGGCTTAGGTGGAATTCAATAAATGTTTGTAAAATAAGTACATCTCTGTTCAGGTTACTAGATATTTAATAATACTCCTGGCCCCTGCCTATTTTCTTCCTGGATGAAACCAATTTGTAAAAATTACACAAAGTTCTGAAGTACCACAATGTTCTATTCTTTACCTGAGTGGTGGGTTACATGGATGCTGTAAACATTTGTTTATAAAAACCTGATAATTCCATTAAAAACCAGTAATATTATATATAAATCTTCTTTAAAATATTTACTCAAAGGATGACCAGACAGCAATTTCTTCAAGTTTTCTCCAATTAGTAGCATCTTAAAAATACTGCTAAACTGTCCATCTACAGTGTATAAATTAAAATTATCTATGGAAGCCATATCAATTTAGAGACTAGAGGGATGATCTAATTATTAAGAAACTAGGCCATAATTACACAATTTCTAAACTATTTCTAAGTCATACATACACTGAAGAGAAAGTTAATTTTATGTGAAAACTCTTAAGGAAATGATGTTACATAATACAAAAATATTGGCACAATATCCATAATTCCATGTACTAATTCCCAATCTATCCACTTAGGCAACCACCTCCACAATGTACTTAAAATCAAGACACTAGAATAGTCACAAAAACGCTATTACTCTTAAAACTGAATTATGCCTATCCAAACTATAAAATAAATTTCTAGAAAATAAAATCAATATCCAACATCAAATTAAGTGACATGCCTTTAATGTGTGCTTTTAAAAGTATAATGGGATAGTATGAGTTTGAGTTACAAAATTAATCCCAATGTAGAGAAAAACTACCAGAATTTATTCATAGCAATAAATGCCTTCATGAAGAAAAAAGATCTTCAACAACCTAACTTTACACTTAAAAGAACTAGAAAAAAGAACAATCTAAGTCCAAAGTTAATAAATGGAAGAAAGTAACAATGATCATAACAAAAATCAGAGCAAAAACAACAGCAAAGATAAAATTAAGAGTTCCTCTTTGGAAAGATAAAATTAACAAAGATTAAGCTAGACTGACTAAGGAATAAAAAGAGAAGAATTAGAAACGAAAGACACATTACAATTGATACCATAGAAAGACAATCATTTTAAGAGGCTACTATTAACGATTATACAGCAACAAATTAGATAACTTAGAAGAAATGAATAAATTCCTAGAAACATACAACTTACCAAGACTGAATCATTAAGAAACAAAATTTAAGCAAACCAATGATGAGAAAGGAGATTGAATCACTAACCAAAAATCTCCAGACAAAACAGAAAAGTCCAGAAGCAATTAGGCAAGAAAAAGTCATAGAGCAATTAGGCTTTAAGAAAAAGAAAGAAGATAATTCTACCAAACAGGTAAGAATTAATACCAATCCTTCTCAAACTCTTCCAAAAAAGGAAAAAATGAGGGAACTCTTTCAAATCATTTCAAGCTCCTCCAAAAAGCTGGCAAAACCAAGAAACAAGCTCAATACAGTTATAGGCTATAAAAATCAACATTCAAAAATAAGTTGTGTTTCTATACACTAACAATGAATTATCTAAAAAAGAAATTAAGAATACAGTCTCATTTACAATAGCACTAAAAAGAATAAAATACCTAGGAATAAATTTAATCAAGGAAGTGAAAGATCTGTACACTGAAAACTATAAAATATCAACAAAAGAAATCGAAAATAATATAAATGAAAGATATATCATGTCCACGGATCAGAAGAATCAATACTGTCAAAACATTCATACTATCCAAATGACCTACAAATTCAATACACTCTCTACCAAAATTCCAATGGCATTTTTCACAGAAATAGAAAAAAAAAAATCATGAAATCCATACGAAACCACAAAAGGCCTTGAATAGTTAAAGAAATCCTGAACAAGAAGAATAAAGCTAAAGGTATCACACTTCCTGATTTCAAATTATATTACAAATCTATTGTGATCAAAACAGTATGGTAACAGCCTAAAAACAGATTCACTGGCCAATGGAACAGACTAGAAAATCAAAAAATATATCCACATGTATGATAAACCAATCTTTGACAAAGGCACCAAAAATATACAATGGGGAAAGAGTAGTCTCTTCAACAAATGGTAGATTTATTGGTTGACTGGTAGATTTCCACATAAAATGATATTGGATCTTTCAACACACAAAAATCAACCCAAAATGGATTAAGGACTTAAATATGACACCGGAAAAACTGTATAACTCCTTTAAGAAAACACAGGGGAAAAGCTCCATGATATTACTCTTGGCAATGATTATTTTTAGATATAACACCAAAAGCATAGACAACAAAAACAAGAATAAATTGAAACTAAGTCAAAGTAAAAAGTTTTTGCACAACAAAGAAAACAACTGAATGAAAAGGCAACCTAAGAAATGAGAGAAATATTTGCAAACCACATATCACAAAAGGGATTAATATCAAAATGTATAAGGAACACATACAACTCAACAACAAAAAAAGAAACAACCCAATCAAAAAATGTGAAAAGGACCTGAATAGGCATTTTACAAAGAAGATATACAAATGGGCAAAAGACATATGAAAAGGGACTCAACATCACTAATCATCAGGGAAATGCAACCCAAAACCACAATGAGATATCACTTCACACCTGTTAGGATGACTATTAACAAAAATTCAAAAAATAAGAAGTGTTGGTGAGAATGTGGAGAAAAGGAGAACTCGTACACTGCTGGTGAGAATATATATTGGTACAGTCATCGTGGAAAACAGTATAGCCGTTTCTCAAAAAATTAAAAACAGTACTACCATATGATCCAGCAATGCCATTTCTGGGTATATATATTCAAGGGAAATAAAATCACTATCTCAGAGATATCTGCACCCCCATGTTCACTAAAGCATTATTCACAATAATCAAGATATGGAAACAATCTAAGTGTTCACTAACAGATGAATGAATTAAAGAAAATGTGGTATAGGTATCTATAGTGAACACACACACACACACAGAGAGGAATATATTATTCAACCTTTAAAAATAAAGAAATCTTGTCATTTGCAGTAACATGAATAAAGATGGAGGACATTATGCTAAGTGAAATAAGCCAGACTAACAAAGACAAATGTGTCATCATCCTACTAATGTGTGGAATCTAAAAATGTAAAACTCACAGAGGCAGAGTAGAATGATGGTTACCAGAGATGTGGGGAGAGGGGGAATAGGAAGATGATACTCTAAGGGCACAAACCTTCAATTACAAATTCTTAAGTATTCTCAACACCCCCCCAAAAAAAGTTACTATGTTAATTAGCTTGATCGTAGTAATCACACTTCACAATGTGTTTGTAAAACAAAATATCACCTTAAATACACATAATTTTTGTCAACTATACCTTAGTAAACCTGGGGGAAAAAATTAAGCCCAGTTCCCATCTTTACTTCTAATACAATAGGAAGTTACTTTACTAGCAAACACTTCACCTTGTTCCAATGCTTAATATTTTATAACTAACCTAATATAACTCTAAACTCTCAATCTCCATAAACTCCAAGGCGCTACTTAATTCAACATGAAGTAATAACGTTATAAAAATACTGCTGTTTTCCCTCCTGTTAAGAAAAAAACAGAGCTAGTATACTATTTAGGCATAAAGGAAAAGATTAGATCTAGGGAAACGTATCTTAAATTTCTTGTCTATAATACTGAGTGACCTCTCACAGAAACAAAGATCCGAGTATCACATGTTCTCACTCATATAATGGACCTTGAACATCCAATGCAATAGTATAAGAAAATGACTGACGGTACTGGGAAACTATGGGGGGGAGGGGAATGGGATTAACAGTAGCAAATATCTGTCGGGGGATGGAAAAACACCTCTTATCAACAGGGTGCCTGAATGAAACGTAATTGTACACCTAACCCTTAACTGTACCCCACAAAACCATAATAAAAAATACTGATTAATAAAAAAAAAAAATTTCTTGTCTAAAGATGTAATCATGTGAACTAAATCCTGTGTATCTGAGTTTCATAATTATAAAAGTTAACTTCCACATTTCTTCAACAAACAGTTACTGAGCCTTTTAAATGGCCGTAAGGACACAAATATGAGTAAGACACAGTGGTCTCCCACTGTCAATGACTATGGGTTAGCCTCAGTAAAATCATTGCGATCCTGATGAGAAGCAGTATTCTGTTCAATTCTAAGCAATATACATCTTAGGGCAGTGGTAATTCATCGACAATGAATTCTTACAATTAAAAATATGGTAACAACTCAAGGTTTATATTGTTAACTGGTTCATAGGGACAAAAAAAGGCCTAGGTCCCTAGTTACTCAGGATGCGTGATCCATGTAGACCGTATGTCATATGTTCTTAAGGAATAGACAGTACAAAAAAAAAAATCCCTGGGTATATATATCCAAGGGAAATAAAATCACTATCTCAGAGATGTCTGCACCCCCATGGTGCCTCTACTCAATTTCTGGGAAAAGACAAGGGAGAGAGAGGAATTATAACCAATATGGAGAGAAAAAAAATCTGTATTTACGAGTAGCATGTCTTCATTTCTTCACCCTATATTTTCCTCTTCCTACATTAGAAAAGGATTCTTTCCCCATCTCTCCTCTCCCTCTTTTCAGTAAACCATGATGAGACTTTGAAAGGATTAGAGAATCTGATGGAGGTTTGTTCTGACACCAGCTTTAACCCATACCAAAACTAATCATACTCAGGAGTAGGGGAGCTTCTCTCTGTAATTCAAGGCTGTACTTTTTTATTCAGGAGAAAAGGTGGCATTTATGTCTATGTTTAGATATGAAGAAATAGCACAGATTTATCATTCCACTGTTTTTCCATTCTATTTTTAATGCCAAATCCCTGAAAGCCCACATTTTGGCAGACAAGGCAGAAAGCACTTCAACTCATTTTCTGGCTCCTCAGTTACTGAGGTGTACCACCATTCATCTAAAAACAAACTCCACTGAGTTCCAATTTCTTATACCTGCACTTCTATTCTGCCTAGAAGATGCTGCCTATCCTACTCAAACCCATGTGAGAGCAAGTATCATAGAGCTGGGGAAAATTACCCCATCTCATCTAGGATCAAACCCTATGCAGACTGGTCTAGGTCCTACAATACTGTTTCAAACATTTTTGCAAGGAGAGAAAAGTCAGAAAGACTTCCCCCTTCCCTATTTTAGCGTGAGCACGTTTACTGCTTTCTACTCAAGGGCATAACAGAGAACGAAAAACATGTTTTCACTAAATTATTAACATACTTTCAACTTCAGGTTTAAAGACCTTGACATATGAAAACAAGTGTTTAACTTCCTATCCCTTAATATGACAAAAACAAAGGGGAGCATAACATTTCCCTGTAACATCTCCTTATAACTAGAAATTATTAGGGAGTTGAGCCAACTAAATTCTTTGTAGGCACAGATGACAGCTGCAACCTTAAAAGTAGTGGATTTTCTCAATTAAAAAAGTCTCATATTACCATTAAACTAAAATTAAAACATCACACACAAAGTTTTCCTTAACTAACCTGCACAACTGACAAACACTACCAGATGGGTAAAGAAGCAAGCACATCGCACACCTCCCTTTCCAATGTACCTCTGGCCAATTCAAGGGTGACATAATGGATTCAGTCTAACAGCACGTTATTAAACTTCCTCTCGGTATGTATCAGTTTAAAAATGAACATACACTTTAGAAAACAACAACACACTCAAATTGCAGCGCTCAGAATGAGGCCAGGGATGGTCCTTTTAAATGCGTTGTCGGTGGTTAAAAGGAAATGTCCGATGATGTCATCCCTAGATACTCCCTAGTGATGAACACTAACTACAGGCCCTTAAAAGGGGGACCATTTTCGTGCAAACCGTGGCGGCCTCCAAGCTCTGCTCAAAGGTTCTCCGGCCGAAGCTGGGGGATAGGGGTGTCCCAGGCCTCGGGCTGAAAAGCGGGAGGAGCGCCGACCCCAGCCCTGGCTCCCGGGGTCGCAGGCAGACGGGGACGGGCCCGGAAGCAGCATGGCTGCACCTGCTCCTGGCACCAGCCGACCGCCCGGGGGCGGGCCAGGCCTGAGGGGATGCTGTCCCCCGTCGAGGCCCAGCCCGGCTTCTGGCGCCCCGGTCGACTCCCCGCCCCCACCTCGCCCCGTCCCCTGAGGAAAAGACAATACATTTTAACGCCATTGGAGCTGCTGCTGTGCTGCGGCTGCTTCTCCGCCTCCGGGGGGTGCGGTTCTCGCCGCGGCTCGCCCGGCGGCTCCGCGGGGTGCTGATGCGGGCTGTCGTCGCCAGTGGCCCCGGGCACCTCCGGCTTGTCGGCGTCCGCCATCGTGCCGCCTCTGCCTCCGCCGCGGCCGCCTGCGCTGAGGGGCTCCGAGCGCAACAATGGCGGCTGCTGGGGAAGCGGTAACGGATCCCGATTTGAAAAGGCCCCGAGCGCTCAGTTGCCCGGATCTCGCGAGAACCGGCCGAGACGGGGCGACTGGGAGAGGGTGTGTGC